CCGCCGCCGCCGCGCGTGGTCGGCGAGAGCTGGCCTCTGCAGGGCAATTTTCCACTCTCAACTTTCAGGGAGAGGGAGAGAGAGATAAAGCCCATTTACTGTACCTTTCTGGCATCTTTCTCAGCTTTCCCTGCTGCTTCTCCCCACCCCCTTCCGATTTATCTCAGCTACTGGTTTTATAAACCGAGAGGGTGGAGGGGGGGGAGGGAAGAGGAGAGGAGGGGGCTTTTTTTCTCTTCTCTCAGCCTCGTCTGCACCTTCTGCTTGAGCCCGCCGGTGAAGTCACAAGACCGAGTCTCTGACATCACACAGAGCCCACAAACGCCGGATTGTGACTTCACTGCAGGGTAGAACAGGGAGGAATAGGAGAGGGGAGGGGAAAAGGCTCTTATTCAAACACATATCTGCAGTAGTAACAAAGGGAACTCAGGAAATGGCTGGCCAAGAAAATGGCTTTTTTTTTTTTCTTTTTTGGCTTTTTTTTTTAAATAAATCATACTCCCTTTTTTGTTGTGGCGTTTGGGGGTTTTTTTTTTGTGGTTTTTGTTCACAAATAAACTTTGTGACCACGGTGGAAATACCTTTTAAAAGTAGCCTGGGCAGGACAGACAGCAAGCGCCAGTCCAGGCGCCATCCTCCAGCGCAGCACAGGCACCAGCAGCCCTTCTGGGACAGAACCACCTGCCGTGGCCCCTTTGGACCTGCCGGGACCGGAGCAGGATGAGGCGCTGGGCTGAAGATCAAGGGGTGGCAGTGGCCACAGGAGAGGCTCGGGCGGGGGCACAGCAGGGGGGATTGCAGGGTAGGGATGGAAACAGGCAGATGCTGCAGGTTGTGCCCGAGACACACGGGGAAGGCAGCGCTGAGAGCCACCGGGCAAGCAGGGCCACGCAGAGTGAACACAACTCCGTGCCAGAGGTCTTGGGAGCTGTGGGCCGGGCAGAGGTAAGGCTCATCACTGGGCACTTGGGGTTTTCTCCCCCGACCTGAGGATCTGAAAACACAGCTGAAGTACAATTCGGGAAAAAGTGGTCAGAGTAAAGGTAACAGAGTTGTATGTAAGGCCTAAGCAAGGCAATAGGGAAAAGAGTGGAGTTTTTGATTCCTTAGTGTATTTTTAGGTGCCCTGGGGAGGGGAAGACAGACTGGGGTGGATGAAAGAAAGGCCAGGAGACTTTGATGTACTCCCAATACAAGGCAATGCTCGGATGTTGCTCTGGGAGCAAAAGCTGATGATATAAGACTTCTGTAGTCATTTCTGAAATGAAGCCTAGAAGAAAAAAAAAGGCTTATTAAGTAGCTATTGGCTTAATGTGACCTGGAAAGTTGTAAGATTTGGGGCTTTTTTTTGTTTATTCAGCTGGTATATCTTTTTCAACATCATTTTCTCTATATTTAACACCACCTCAAACATGTCAGTAAATAAGCCCAAAAAAATAAAAATTTGTTATTTGTGCTTAAAATGGATTTTTTTTTTTTTTTCACCTTTTGAAGCAAGGCAGCTCAAACACTTACACTGTGCTAATCATGCCTGAAGGCCAGGAATTCAGAGGAATAAGTCAAGGGCACAGCCACAGCCAAGTGAATATAAAAAAATAATAAAAAAAAAAAAATTAAACTGTGCTAATTGCAGATGTTATATTTATGAAGTTATTGGAACTGCAGAGCCAAAAGGAAGACAGCTTGTGATCCTCACAGTGTGTCCACTCCTCTCTCCGACCTCCATCCCTGCCCTCATCAAGACCTACAAAGCAATTCCCATCGCCGTGTGGACCTGGAAGGGAGAAAACAGCACTACCATCGTAGCCTGCCCTTTCCGCAACCTGCCAGTGAGGCAGGAGGGAAATCTGTATGTGGAGTGAGTGAGAAGCGAGGAGGAAGCAATCCAGATTCCTGCCATGAACCAGCTGGCACATACATTCCCAGCTCGCTGCTGCTGCTGGACTGTGGGAGGACCCCAGGAGTGCCTGAAGTGCCCCAGAGGGCTGGCACCAGCACTGGAAACCCAAGACACTTGCCGGGAACTTCTGTACCCCAGCAGTTCTGTGTGCTTCCAGCACAAAATCCAGGCATCCAGAAGATAGTCTTCCAGGCTGAAGCTGCTCCATGGCCAAAGCCTCTGTTCCCACATCTACTCTGAATCCCAGTGCCTTGGGGCATCATCCCAGCCCTGGCAGAGCCACAGTGTTAGGGAAGATTTCCCCTGTTGTTTTACAGTGTCTCCATGCCAGTACAGCAATAAACCAGTCTGCAATGGATGGAATGAACTCTCCTGCCTCTGCTTGTGAGAGGGAGGGAGAAGGTATGAATTGCAAGCAGGGAGGTCCCCATCCAATCTCATATCCTTCAGCAAGTCTTGCTCCTTGTTTGGCCACAACTTTACTACCATTTTTATATCGACTCCTTGCATTTTTTTTATCTATTTTTTTCCACCCTGCTGACTGCATGAGAGGAAACGTCCATGTTTATCCCACTCCTTCTCTCTCGGGGAATCTCTCTCAACCTGCCTGTGGCGGGGAGGCAACATGGCTGCCAACATGCCAGGATGCAAGGTGAGGAGGTGAATGGGGGAGAAAGGGAGGCACAGGCATTTGCTGGGAAGAGGAATAAAGAAGGGGGAAAGAGGAAGGAATCTAACATATACACACTGACTAGCATGGGCTTGCTCCAGCTTGGCCCACGTCGCAATTACCTGACTTGGAGGCTGGCCAAGCCTCCCAGGTTAAGTCCCTCTGCACTTGTGCAAAATGCTGTCAGAGCTGCCGGGACTGTGAATACTCAGGGCTCCAGCAGCATGCCTCATCCAAAAAGGAAAAAAAAAAAAACCAACAGAGACAGGGCAGGGACTGAATGGGCTTATTTTCACACAACTGCAATTGTTTTGTTGATGCGGAAAGGTAATTAAAAAAAGTTCTGATTTCAAACGTGCCACAGAATTCCCAGAGCCCGGAGGCTGCTGCTTAGAGGCAGATTAATCACACTGAATTCTCCATCTAGATATTGCATGCACTCCAAACTCCCACCGCTAATAGCTCTAATATTCTCCTCAGCGTGTGCATGCTGCTGGTGTTATGTTCCAGGAATATTAATTCCCCAACTCGAGCTCCTTTTGCTTGCGCATGTACCCTAAAGGCTTGCTGCCGGGCACCGGGAGATTATGGAAAAGAGAAAACAGGGCTAGAGGAGAACCAAGGTGCAAAGGTACTGGCTGCAACTCCTCAAGGAAAGTCATTAATGTTCTTTGGATAAGCAAGCCGTCCAAATAAAATCTACCTGAAGGCCAAGTTCTTTAAACAAAGACAGCCAACTACACACGCACAAGATGGTTGAAATTAAAATGAGCTCCCAGTGCTGGCTTTGTGTTACCCGTTCCCACTACCCTGAGACTTGCTCAAAATCTCAGTCCTGTTAATTGTGAGCTCTGAACTAGCAGTTTCATTTGTGTCTTCTGCTGGTGTCTTCCCCCCTCCCCCTTACCCCCAAGCAAGGCTTCGTGCATCTAAAACTCTTCCTGCCACACGCTAGGTAACAGTGAAAATATAGCACATTGTAGTGCAAGCACCCGAAGAGCAGGCAGCACTTTACACAGCAAGTCCCTTCTACCCCTAACAAAACTGATAGGCCAGGGGGTTCACAGTCCAGCTCAAGGCATCCCCAAGATCCTCATTCCACACAGAAAACAGGAAAGGGAAAGATGAAGGCAGGAAACATGTCATTTTTCTTGCTTTCAACTAACTGCCATTCCTGATAAGCAAGTCAGAGTGTTTGTGTGAGCTATGTATATGGCCAAAAGGCCAGCTGCTAAGCTTTAAAACCAATGCATGCTTGAGAAGTACATTTAAGATGCCCATGATGTAATTTTCAAAGCTCCTAAATGCCCAATGCTTCTGGTGCTGTTCAGTGAAGACTGCAGGTAGTCACCAGATTAAAACACAGTTCTCTAAAACTGGCCATACAAGAACTCTGGAAATTACCACAGAGAAGAGACTTCAAAAACGGATGGTGCTGGTCATGCTTCCATTTAGTAGGATTACTCGCCTGACAAGAAGCTGTCATGGGCATGATTTTCTTTGTCAAGCAGTCAAAATATGTAGCTCCACATAATGTTAATCAGTGTACTCATGTCAGTACTGGAAAATCAAAAGAGGTTTGCCCCTTTTGTTGCAGGTGTTTGTGATAAGCAAACCAGTAGGACACCTGAGTCATAGGTTAAACTGGATGTTTAGACCAGCCCATCAGCTGTTTTTCACAGCTGAGAACACCTTACCTAGTCTCTGGACTAAAATCTGTAACACCACAGGTGCGCAGGCATAGGTGGTGGCCCTCTCCATAATTATGGCAGGTCAAAAAAGTAAAGGCATATTTTTATGGCTAAATATTTTACAGGGGGGCTGTTGTTGCTGGGAGAGAAAAGGATAGGAACATTTTTGAAGCTGCTTCTGCTTGCTATCTGTACCGTGCAGGTCTACAATCGTATGTGCGCCTTGAGCTCTCAGCCAATTGCTTAAACTTGGCTTCTGCTGCAGGGAGGGAAAGGACAGGACTCCAACTGAGGCACCGTCTGTGTAAGGCCCTTGGGGCTTAACTCTGCTGTAAGTGGGCAGGGAGAGGCATGGGCTTCCTCCACCGTGATAAACCAAGGCACTGGCATCACTCTCAGTGTGGCTTAGGTGCAAATCTGTGATCCTCTTTCTCTCTTTGTGCACAAAGAATGAAGCTTATAGAGAAGCTGACATCTAAATCCTCAATATTGCACATCTGAGATAACCCCAGTTGGTTTTGTTTTTCAAACTCAAATATACGAGAAGGGAGAAAGACAGAAAGATTTCATCCCTTGTCAAACCCTGTCACCAGCCCCCTGTGTTACAGATCTGTGAACTCTCACATGGGATGAGGGCTCTTTGCTTTTATCTCCCTGTGCAGAGTGTGTCCTCAGCCCTTTGCAAACAGATGTTTTGCCCTCTGAAAGGGAATAGATGGGGGGGAAAAGAGAGCATGAGCATAGGGGAATGAGAGAGAGAGAGAGAGCGCACCAGTATGAGCATGAGCAAGAATGCTGTCTGCAGATGTCAATCAGGACTTCAGTCTAGGTCTAACCTGCCAGTCCTGCAAAAGAAGGATACATGAATTTTCTAGTTGGATAGTCAGTGTCATCAAACAAGAAAATTGTGAGGTTTAGATTGTAATGCAGTCTCACATTCAGTAAAAAGGCCTTGCTACATGGAGACGATGTGGGACTGAGGAGCCTATTCCTAGCACCTTAAAAATTAAAATTTCACTACAAATAACCCAAATGAAATGGTCAAAAATAGTACAGCATTTCAGACCGTTTTTGTAGAGCACGGTAGTATTTGGCAAGGGGAAAGTGATTGTAGGTAGAATACTGTCAGGTTTGGGGAAAGCTTTCTCTGCATTTAAAAAAATTATACGAAGGAAAATATTCTTGGGAATGAAGTCTAATGATTACATGTATGTGGAGTGTCATCTCTACCTTGGCGTTTAACAGAAATCAACTCCCCCATGCCAGCACCCTCCCCTCCAGCCACCCACCCTGATATTCTTCTTCACCACTTCCCACCCATTAACCCAGTACCTGCAGTGCAGTGTTCAAGTGGGACTGGCGGAGCTGCTGCCGCTGTCATCTCCTCGGAGCTGGCAGTCACCTGCCAATCTCGCCCCCACTTCCTCCTCCCTCCTGCTCCCCCCCACCCCTCGTCAGTGCAGCTTTCCCTGGGGATAGATCTCTCTCGCCCCCCCTCCAGCAGCCTCACAAATAACTACTGTTAACTCAGTGATATCACCCTCCACGGATTTTTAATTACCAGCCGTCCACAGGGCACGAGACTCGCACTTAACAGGGAGAAACGGGCCAGAGAGGCGGGCTAGCAACAGGGCGTCGGAGAGTTTGGGCTGATGTGGGCTTCAGCCGAGAGACGGCTCCTTGTGCTCCATCTGCATGGCAGGGCTGGCACAGGGAGCCTGCAAACCCCCGCGGGACACTGCCACGCTGGGCACGGGCACACGAAATGTGCCACTGTGCTGGGGAGAGAGGGGGACTTGGTCCTGCAAGGGCTGGTGGGGAAAGCCGCTCCCTGTAGCAGGACAAGGAGATGCTCTGCTACACCAGTTGAGGAAGCATCATCCAGGACAGCGTTTGTTTATACGGTATTTTAAATGGAAACCAGAAAAAAAGGGGGGGAGGGGAGAAAACAGGGGGAAAAAAGAAAGGTGCATTTCTGTTCGTGTATCATCAAATACGTCTCTCTTTTCACATATGAAAGGCCTTCATTTTTTCCTTTGCAAGACAATAGCCTTATTTCACCTTTTTTTGTGTGAAAATTCATCAGTCTGTGGCCCAAGGCTTTTTCTTAGCCCTTTATTAAATGGACATGGCTTACTGAACTTTCAGGCAACCTCTCCACCTAGTATTTGTTTGTTCACACCCATTTACACTCTCTTGATTTTTAACAGGTCTGAATAAGGCTTATTTTTTTAAACACTCGGTTAATGAAGTTTTATCTGAATAGTCATAAGCCTATTAGTGCTCAAGTTGTGCATCGAATTCCCCCTCCCCCCTAGAGGTTAAACAAGACCAGAAATCCTTTTGTATTTGAAATAACACGCTGGGAAGAAAAGAAGCAAAGAAGGATAAAAAAGCCCAAGCCCCCCATTAGATCCCTTTTAAATCAAAAAGAGACACTAGAAAAGGGGCACAACGCAAGGCGCTTTCCCCCTTCCCCCCTCTTCATTCTTCTCCTCCCTCCTTTGTAGGTCACCTTTACTATGAAGACATTGATGCTTCAAGTCTTCTTTTGCTTCAATAAAGGAGTAAGTTCAACACCCCAATCAGGTAACCACTGTACCCCAGGTGGGCAATGAACGGGAAGGGCCATCCAGGGAGGGAGGCCCCCTGCCTAAGGTGAGGGCTGGGTCCTCAACACACGAGTGGGACTGGGGAGTCTTCTCTGGGAAACAGCAGGCGCTTTTGGAAGAGGACAAGTTTGACAGCATGGCACTGAAAATGCCGAGCTTGAGTGGAAAGGGAGGAGACAGACATGCAGCACTGAGGGATGGCCCTGACGCTGGCCTCTGCACCCAGGGAAGGACTGAGGGCAGCAGTCGAGGGGAAGAGCATGGCAGTCGTGGCCTTGGAGTCCTTTGGCAGCCGCCCCTCCATCCCAGCAGAGCATCCTGGCAGACGAGAGAGCCCCTGCTCCCCTGAAATAAACAGCAGCCTTCCCAATGCTTCATTAAACTAACACAGCTTCCCGCCATTGCCCCGGCAACCGACACAGGCCTCCTGTTTGCCAGCTGGGGGAATTAAAGGAAGCCTGGCAGCCAGCCCCTGGCTCCTCCAAAAGCTCCCCTTACACAGCCAGAAAGCTTCCCCTGGCAGGGGAGGGGACCAGGTGGCTCCCAAGGTGCCAACTGAGATGGGGGAGTCCTGCCCACCCCCACTCTCGCAAGCTACAGTCCCCAGGGGGCCAAGGACCCTGCCACTGCCACCAGCACTGCTGCTAGAAGGTGGCACAAAGCTGGAGGGCTAACCAAAATGGTCCCCGAACTGGAAGA